ACAGCATGTGTGAGGATCATTGTATATCGTTAGTTCATTTATTTTTCCTCTTCCTATCGATGCGTGAACCATCCAATTGCATCGTTATCATGTTGGAGATAGTGACAAACTACTTTTTGGTGGTAGAGTTGTCGATTCTAGACTGAACATAATACGAATATTGTAATTCTTAATTGCCATCACGCTTATTCTTTGCATGAAAAATTCATTCCTTTATATAACACCATCATGAATGATGAGTTAAATCATAATCACCAACATTAGGCATATCCGCAAATTGTGGCTCGTACATGCATCATAGTCAACTTTATACATATGTGTTGGAGGTTCAGTGTGTATCGTATTGTGGGAACTTCTACATAATCATAATCAGAGTCTATGTTGAACTGCGGTGATTCTGGGCTGAACGAATAGTCTAGTCTCAACACCATCGACACCTGGCTTACGAAGAGATTCTTCTGGTGGATGAGGGTTCCTCCACGATGTTGACATTTAGGTCGAACAAGCTAGTAGTTACATGCCTTCCCTTGAACTTGAAGGCATCTCGATATTGAGGTCGAAGAAGCTTGCAGTTGAATGCCTCTCTCTGGAGCTTAAAGGTATCGTGTCAAATGGGTATGCACATATTGTTGCGTCGAGGCATCTCCATATTCAGGTCAAAGAATTTGGCATATGAATGTCTTCCCCTTGAACTGGACGCGATGTTACCATACAAATATTTGTGGAGCAACCTCGGTACATATCGTAAGAGTTGCTAATGAATACCTCCCATTGAACTTGATGAGATGGCACATTATGTAGATTTCCCATTAACGAGTTAAAATCACATATTACTTGAGTGGGCTGTCAACTTGATCAACTTGTTAAGCAGCCATAGTGGGGCATAATGACATACCACGAAAAACATACACTTGAACAAATTAGCATACATCTCTGTATCGGCATCTGAATGATGATTTTGAGAATCAACATCATAACAACATCGTCATCATTGGATAATTCGAACGCTGTATAAGTTAACGAAAATACTACGGTTGGAAATCTGTACAAAGTGAGGATTCTTCTAGTACTTCAAACATGAACCTTCCTTGAAATCTTCGTTATCAGCTCCTCAAGTTATGTTTCTCTTGAAGGATATTTGACATAATGATTTGATGCGAACACGACGCTGATTCCATCTTCCCAAATTTCTCCATATAGTAAACAATAACTGAAATAACGTCATTCTGATAGTTGAAAGATTGAGAGTCTTATATATGCAAAAACAATAGCTGAAATACACTTCCTTGAAATCTTCGTTATCAGCTCCAAGAGTTATGTTTCTCTTGAAGGATATTTTGACATAATGATTTGATGCGAACACGACGCTGATTCCTCTTCCCAATTTCTCCATCATAGTAAACAATAACTGAAATAAGCGTCATTCTGATAGTTGAAAGATTGAGAGTCTTATATATGCAAAAACAATAGCTGACACCTAATTAAATAAATAATATATGAATTAAAATATAACCTAATAAAAAATTAAATTTTTTTACAATAATTTAAATAATATAATTTTATATTGTTATTGTATCGACAAAAATGTCTCGACGTATGATCCAACTTTTCAATTTTACAACTGCAAAAAATAATACAAAATAATTAATACAATAATTTTTCAAATAATCATATATAAAAAAATATAATATAAAAAAAAGTTTTACCTTACAACAAAAATCGAAGGAATTGGTTAAACAAAATAGAAGGAATTGATGTGGTGATGTTTAGGGTTGAAGGAGTGTTATTTATAGGCGAATGGAGAGATTAAAGGCCAAGATTTTCAGAACAAATAATAGAAAGTGTGGATGGTGATCCGTGTCTTACTGGCGCTGTCATAAACCTTAGAAAAGCGCGCGTATATGACAATCCGCGTCTTTCATTACGTGACGTCAACTCGAACGAAACTCCGAAAAAGTACAAATCGTCAGAAAAGGTGCTAGATTAATAAAAATAGACGAAAGAAGGTATGACAGATAATTATTTTCATTCAATGTGATTTTTCCGTAAAATTGTCTGATTGAGCTGATGAAATTGGAAGAGAATGCGGAATCTATTCAGAACATAGAATCTTCAATTATATAATAATTCTCCTAAATCTACTCTAACTTAACCAAATCGTACAACAGAATGATTTCTCACTTAACTTCCTCAGCCCACACCTGCTTGTTTATTCCTAAATTTTCACCACAGTAAGTCATATAATTTCACAGATTTTACTACTTATTTATGTTTAATGATATTGGAAATATTAATATTAAAATGGTACAATAACCAACTTACTTCAGTAGTTAAAGAAATTGTTGTTAATTTTAAAGGTTATAGGTTCGAGCACCAACGAGTGCATTGGTGATTGAACATTCATTATCAAATAGTTAAAAGTACTTATAATCAATGTTTTTAAAATCGGACCGGACTTTGAACCGATGAAGGTACTGATTCACTAGTTTAACCGGGTTCAACCGGGTTCAACTGAATTTTATATAAAATAATATATTTTTTAAATTTTATATAGTATTCAAAGTAATATTAATATATATATATATATATATATATATATAACATTTTTTTGAACTTTACAATATTAAAATGTATAAAAAAATCACAAGTCATAACATATATAAGATAAAAAAATATAAAATAAAGTGAAACAAAATGATTCAAATCAACTACAACATAATATTTAAGGTAAAACATATTAAATAATAACTATAATTAAAAAATAAAATTGAGGCTGAAAAAAATCATAACAAAAGATGTCGTTTGGTTTATTTTAAAAAAAACAATCCCACATGGCTAAGAAACATAGAAGAGCATCCCATCTGACTTCTATAAATACTAGAGGTAATTTGACATTCAAAATCATAGAACCTTTTGGTGTGCACAGAGCTAACTATTATTTCGCTTCAATTGAGCTCGAATTTCAGGCTTCAATCGAGCTTCTAATTTTTTTTGAGTTCGAGCCTTTTTGAGTTCAAGTTTCAATATTAAATTTCGAGTTTGAGTTGAACTTGATAATTTTTAGCTCGTGAGTTTTTGAGTCGAGTTGAGCTTACTTTTAAAGTTTTCGAGTTCGAGTCGAGCTTAGCAGTACTCGAGTTCGACTCGGCTCGTTTAACAAATGAAATCGTTTGGTTTAATTTTTTTAAAGAAAAAAAGAGAATCAATAGTTCACACCGGTTTTGCCGGTTTTCAGCCGATTCACCCCGGTTTTGCCGGTTCTCAGCCGGTTCTACTAATTTTTTACCGGTTCTGTGCACAACCGGTTTTGGAAGTTAACAAGACCGGACAGACCACCGGTTCACGATACAACCGGTTGAATCGGCCGGTCCGATCCAGTATTAAAAACATTGCTTATAATAGATATTACTTTGTAATCACATTTAACTTAATAAAAAAATTGTACAATAAATTCGCTCGATCAAGTTAGGAGATACTTAAATAAATTAGTAAATAAATTATTATTTTAATAAACTTTTATTTGAAAATTTATAAATAAAATTAAAAAGACTTTTTATTTGAACTATTGTTTTTATTAATTTAGAAAAAATATAAAGTAATAATTGTTTAAAGATAACTCTCATTCATTTAAGATTGAAAGCTTATACACTATACACATACATTAGACACGTTCATCTGAATTATTATTTAAATGCTCTATAAATGTTAAAAAAGTATTTAATCATAAATATTAAGTCTAATTTAATTAAATCAATTTGGTATTAGAAGTCTTAATAATATAACTATAATTTTATATTATTGTTTTTAATATAATTAAGTTTTTTAAGTTAAAAAAGGATAGGGATAAATTAGTCTTTAAGGGTAAAAAAAGGGTAATAATAATCCTTGAAAACTCTTAAGATTGAGAATCTGAATTGTGTTTGTCCACCATTGTTTTAAAAACCGGATCAGACCGATTGGTTCAATTGAGAATTGTGTGTTAATCCGGTTTAATCTAAATTGGTTGAACCGCTATTAGTGAATCGGTCAGAATCGTTGAACCGTTCGAATCGGACCGACTGAAAATCGGAAAAAACTAAAAAAAACCAGGAATTTTGTTTTTTAAAAAAAAAATTAAACCAAACAACTTCGTTTGTTAAACGAGCCAAGTCGAACTCGAGTATTGTTAAGCTCAACTCGAGTATTGTTGAGCTCAACTCGAACTTGAAAACTTTAAAAGTAAGCTCAACTCGACTCAAACTCACAAGCTAAAAATTATCAAGTTCAACTCAAACTCGAAATATAATATTGAAACTTGAACTCAAAAAAGCTTGAACTAAAAAAAATTTAGAAGCTCGATTGAAGCCTAAAATTCGAGCTTGATTGAAGTGAAAGAATAATTCACTCAATGTTCACCAAAAGGCTCTATGATTTTAAATGTCAAATTACCTCTATTATTTATAGAAGTTAGTTGTGATACTCTTCTATGCTTCTTAGCAATGTGGGATTGTTTTGTTATCATATTTTTACTCTTTAGACTTTTGGGATGTTCTTCTATGTTTCTTAATCATGTGGGATTGTTTAAAAAAAAATAAACCAAACAATATCATTTTGTTATATTTTTTTTAACCTCAAATTTATTTTTTAATTATAGTTATATAATTATATTTATTATTTAATATATTTTACCTTAAATATTATGTTGTAGTTAATTTGAATCATTTTATTTCACTTGATTTTATTATTTTTAACTTATATATGTTATGACTTGCTTTGAATATGACTTGCTTTGAATATGACTTGTAATATAAAAAATTATTTTTTATTAAATATTTTTATTTAATTTTTTAAATAATTATAACATCGTCTAATTCTTTCGATCGATCTAACCAATTTGATCAGTTGAACTAATAAACCGATAACATAACCGATTGGCCAACCAGTCAGGTTCTGAAAACCATACTCCACTTAACCCCGACATTTGCCCCTTTCTTCCTCACCTTCACTTCTTCAGTACTCTGTTTCTTCCTTTTCTTTTCTCTCACTTCTTCTTCCTTGCCGTAAACCATTTTGCACAAAAGCAAGAAACCCAAACCCTAACACTCTGAAGTTCACCCATATTTCTAGCCTCAGTTTCTACATTGTATGGTAACTCTTTCATAAGCTTAACGAGTGCTGTTTTTGTTGAGAGTGGAGGGTAAAACCCAGCTGAACAAACCCTAGGAACCTTCAAAAGAAGCAAAAAAAACCATCTTTAATTGGTTTTAAATATTGGGTCTTTTTTTTTTGAATTTCTCTCTAAAACCCAAAACCATTACTGAATGAAGAACCCCATCATTGAGTAGCAAAGCAAAGCTCGGTTATTTACGTTCTGTTTTCCCCCTACATTCACCTAACAATGTCAAACCAAAGACCCACTTTTTTCTCCTTTGTTGCCCTTTGTTTTATAGTTTTCTCCAATGTGGCTTTGGTAACTTCAAAATCAACAATCGAACCTTGTTCGAACTCTGATTCCTGCAACGCCTTGTTAGGGTACACTCTCTACACAGATTTGAAAGTGGCCGAGGTTGCTTCCCTCTTCCAGGTTGACCCCATTGCGGTCCTCACGGCCAACGCTATCGATATCTCTTACCCCGACGTCGAAAACCACATCCTTCCTTCCCGGCTCTTCCTCAAGATCCCCATCCAATGTTCCTGTGTCGAGGGATTCGAAAATCCGTTCCACCAAGTACAAAACTCGCCCACAGGACACGCTTCGTCGATTGCTGACTCCATTTATGCTGGTTTGGTGTCAGCTGATCAGATTAGGGAGGTCAACTCCATTGCTGATCCATCCGTTCTTGATGTGGGGGAGAACCTTGTGGTTCCTTTGCCGTGTACTTGTTTTAATGGTACTGATAATGGACTGCCCGCCGTTTATCTGTCGTATGTGGTGAAGCCAGTGGATACTTTGGCTGGAATTGCAGCTAGTTATTCCACTACGATCACAGATTTAATGAATGTTAATGCTATGGGGACTAGTTCTATTAAGGATGGTGATATTCTAGCTGTTCCTTTATCAGGTAGTTTTACATTGCCTTGTTTTTGTAGATTGTATGGTTGACACTAAAATTGAAAATTGTAATGATTTAGTCATTTTAAACCAATGCCATTCTCTTGAATTTTCAGCTGTAGAGTTTTATACTTGCTTATGAAGTTAGGCTATTAGAGTTAGCTTTTTATATAATCGCTGCAAACTTTATCCCTTCAATATTTTCCTCGTTGATGAGTTCAAGTTGATGGAATGATTGTGAATCTCTATACTCAGCGTTGGAATCAAGATTTGTTTTCCTTTATATGCTTTTGCTTTGTTTATGTCGGTTTCCGAAGGACAGGGAAAGTTAAGTATTGGTTCTTTCGGTTCATGCAGCTTGTGCTTCGAATTTTCCCAAATACGCCTTAGATTATGGATTGATTGTTCCTAATGGGAGCTATGCTATAACTGCTAGCCACTGTGTCCAGTGCAGCTGTGGGCCTGGGAGTCGCAAGTAATTGAGCCATCCTGTAGCTTGTTGGTTTATATTAGTTGTATGATAGTTTTTACCGCTTATTATTCTTTTCCTTAAATCTAACATAGTGGAGTTAATCACCTTTGTTGATTTTGTGGAGCAGTTTGTACTGCATGCCTTCTTCGTTGGCTGTTTCATGTTCAAGCTTGCAATGTAAAAGCAGCAACCTTAAGCTGGGGAACGTTACAGTGCAGCAAAGTAGTGCTGGATGCAACGTTACTTCTTGTGCTTACGGTGGTTATGCAAATGGCACCATTATCGCATCGTATGCTGCTCCTTTTACTTTGATTGATATTTATGTCAAAAGTGATCTCCGTCTTCTAATTTTACAATGACTGAACCCTTCCATTCCTTGCCTTTGTTCTGTAGGTTGTCATCTTCTCTTGAACCTCGATGTCCAGGTACAAGTTTATAAAATACCATTCACAATTCTTGTGATTCAAAAATGCATGAAGACAAGAAATTATTTGGTTTTAGCATGATTTGGACTTCTCTAATCCAATGATGTGAATATATTATTTCCTTTTGCATTTGCACAGATCAAAACGACAGAGTGGAAGAGATAGTTCTTATCCGTGTTGTTTATGTGATCTTTTTTGTTGTAGCATCTAGAAATCAAACAATAATTATGGAGTCATCAACGTACTGAATTCATTTGTTACCTTCACTGATGCATAATTCTTGGCTTTCTAATTAAGCTTCTGTCATACATGACTTCAAATCTCAAGGAGTCAAACACGAGCAGTTTACGTTTCGGAATTCACTTATATTTCCATATGGTCATAGAAGGCTTCTTGACTGATTTAAATTTCTGTTCTTTTTCTTCAAAATGCAGGACCGCAACAATTTCCTACCCTCGTAGCCCCACCTACTTATGTACCGGATTCGGCTTTTGCCCCAGCACCTTCACCCCAGTCGGATGGTTCCACAACAACTGTGCCCAAGACTTCGACAGTTCCTTCTACCGGGTCACTTCCAGGATTTGGCCCGGCAGGTGCTCCACTGGGAAGTATGTCTGAAGCCTCCACATTGGTGAATTCGGTCTCTATCCTTCCTGCTGCACTTATGACATGCTTGCTTATCAAATTAATCTCACCCGTGTCATTGTAATTTGGTCGTCTTTGTTTTGAAGATTTCTTGCTTTTTGATCTGTCCAGGTTGTCTGTAGCTTTATCCATGACTGCATTTACATTCTTGCTGTTAGCTACTTTGGTTTCTGATCATTCAGTGCAATTAATGGGCAGTTGCCTTTTTTCCTTCATTAAAATTGCCCAAGACTGCTAAGATTTTTATTTCCTTGTATCTCCATGCGTAATGATCGAAAATGGTGTGACGGTGTGGATGATAATTCCGTCAATGTGGTGACATCGATCACCGTTCACCTTCATTGACTGCCGTTGTCGGCTATCATCATCAGCCGTTGGAGTTTCACAATGCCACCCCCAGTACACTGCCAAATGGGTTGAAGCCGGCACCGCACATACTCATGTCTTCAATGTCTACTCATCTGTCATACCTTGCTCTCTTTTCCTCATCTCCAAGAACCTGCAAGTGAAAAGAAGCATTTCATTCAATTTATGTAAAGATAAATGGGATTAATTAAAATGTATTAATGATCGCAGAGTTCTATAAAAAGAAAGTTTGAAGTTAAAACAGCGTATAGATGATAAATAAGTTCAATATTAATGGCAGGCCATGGTTAAATCTTTTGAGTTGTACACTATCGGACAGTAGAAGATCAACAATTAGAGAAGATAAATTCGATTTTTTTTAGATCTGAGCTATTTTGTTTAGATTAAAAAAAAAATCTGGATAGAAAAAAGAGGGTCAAAATGTATATTTTGTAAAATTTCAACAATCACCAACGAACGACAATCAGTATAACTGGAGTCTGACCGGTGGGTGAAATCCTTGAGTTAGGTTTATAAGGATTAAAAGAAAGAATTTAAAAAGGCATATGATACTAAAAAACATCATTATTTTGGACATCAACATGTCCCAAACAATATCAATTTAGCCATATAATTATATTGACGAAACTATCACCCAAACGATATCAATTTTAGTCATGTCATTATATTGACGAAACTATCAACTGTATCATCACTTTGGTTTCGAGTGGTACAATTGAAGATAAAATTAAAATTTAATGTTACAATCATATCAATTTAAAGTTCTATGATAAAATCTATAAAAAGCTAAAGTTAAAACAATATCTAGTGTAGTTTATTTTTTATTTTTTACTATCTGAATCGTTGATTTTGAATTCCTGGATGGATAAAAATTTGCGTGTAGTTATATTTGAGGTATGCAAAATGAATATTGTGTTGACACAGAAATAGTGTAAATGAGAGTGGCAATAAATACAGTTTATCCATTAAATAGTACAAATGCAACCGTATGTATTTACATCATTTACATTTCACACCAACATTGACGTGGAAAACAAAGCGTCACTACACTTCAGAGACCTGTTCTCTGCTATACGGTTACAGAAGTTAAATTTATTCATAGAGCCTTCATTACAACTTTGCCGGTTGTGTTAATGCCCATTGCAGCAAGTTTCAATATGGTACGGTCAGAGAATTAATGATATTGTTAAACTCAATTCATTAGATTAGAAATTACATATGAGCATGGACACAACCTAGCACATGTTTAAATTCTGGAGTATGTATCTGAGAGTACCTTTCAGTACCAATCTTCCTTAAATCTGCATACGTACAAGTTTGCAGTAAAAAAGACATAATTTTCACTCTATTGATGCTTTTGTACTGAAAGACTTGTTCCGAGTTCAATGCCATAATGTAATGGGTGATAAGTTTGTTCAAACAGTGCTTCGATTAATTGCTTGAATTTAGCTTACAAGATAACTATGCAAATGATTGTGCAGGACTTGAGGAGTTTACATCGTCTATATATGAAAGGCATACCTGTTTTAGTGAATAACAATCCCTATTAAGGTATGAAATACAAAATGATGCTGCGGAAGTGTGGGGTGCCGTTTATATAGTTTTTTTTATAGAAGTTGGAGGTCTCATTAAAATCTCCCTTCGTATTCGTCCACATACTAAGAAGTATGTTAACGAACATTGGAAGGAAGAAAAGAGTACCTCATAGTTTATTAATAATAATACCCAATACATATGAAAATACGGAATATCCTCCTATGGTGAAATACATCATTACAACAAACCAGAAACACCTAAAACTCTCACATCCTCAACCAAAAAACCCCATGACAATCACCCTATTTATAAGTTACACCTCCAGCAAAAGGATAAAAAACAACACAAAAGAAAACCAACACCTGCAACCATTTAAACTAAATCAAAGCCCCAATTGAAGAAACAAGATCTAATGAGTATCAACTTCGTCAGGGACCCAAGACTTTGGTTTGAAGGAAGGCTCAATTTCATGCACCATGATTTAGAAGGACATAGCAACGACCTTCAATTCCAACGACTCATCAATTCTCACATGAGCCTTTGTGAGGATTTGAATTTTTGTCCGATCAAAAGATGATGGCGACTGACAGCTTTCGTCGATTGCTAATAAATTACCCCACTTATCTGCAATGTTCTTGAAAGTATCCCAATTCCAAGCGTGAAAAGGAACGCCCTCGCAAACTAACCACACTCGACGATACTCCACCACCAAACTCTTTGACCAAACTTCAACTCTGGAGAACCACTTTGCGAGAGTCTCTGATTTATCGTTCTTCACATTACTCAATGAAGCATAGTCTTCAAAAATCATTAGAACTGCATTTCCAACAGCTCTCATTATCGAGAAACCAGTGAAACCTTTGGCTTGCATTTGACTAGCGAGATTACCGATTTTGATAAAGTCCTTGCACCACCGCACTAAACATTTACTCAACACGTGAAGATATCTTCGTCCATAACACCTTCAACTTCACAATGATTTTTCCTCGAAACAACTTCCATCCCAAACTTATGATGAACAGATGTTGAGGTCTTTCTCCAAAAAGACTGTCGAGGTTTGAATTTAGCCAAAGATACACTAATTTTGCTGTTGTCAATATGAGATCCATTCATTTTTGAGATCGCTTTCCTTGCTTCTTCGATTGTTGCAAAACGAATGAAACAAAAATGAACCCCTTTTGAATTTCTTTTGTTTGGAATGAAATCATCAATAACCCGACCGTGGGTGCAAAATAAAGATCCAAACCTCTTCCAATGGATCTTTTCTTAGTAAATTTTCAATAAATAATGTGTAGCAACCACTTATGTACCCATTACAAATTTTTGGGTGGCCTTCATTCCACCAATTATGAAACCCGATTCTCATCCTTCTTGCTACTTCCGTAGACTTATCATCGGAACACCCCTTTGTGGTGAACTCCTTGATTTCATCATGGTCAACATCTGCGGCAGAATGAGCTGGTGATGCCGCTACTAAAGAAAGCTTCCCATTCCCATATTTCCCTCCTTGTGAAAAAGTCAATCCATTAGGCCTAGATTCATTATCCATAATTTTTCTTACAAAAAAGGTATCCTCATTCGCCGACGAAGCCTCCAATCGGGATCTCAAATGCATTTCCTCACTCGATCTCGACTTCACCTGTCCCCGGCTACCTCCGCCGCTCAATGGCTGCTTCTGATTCCCATCAGACCCACCATTGACAGTTTCCTTCGCAACACCGTAGGAAACCGAAGCCCACTGAGGATTCTATTGGTTACAATCGACGCAAGTTTTGTTATCTGACTGTGATTGGAGAACCCGTAGTCGCCTTCTAATCGCCATCTTTAAGTCAGATCTCTCGGGCAGAGCCATAAACTGAAGTTTGGCATCTCTGTCGGCAAATCCCAAAGGTGAGAAGGCATTGTATAACCCCGGGAGCAACCTACCTCGGATCCGAGACGATTCAGCGGCTACCGAAGGAGAACGATACATTCCAAGCCGGACTGATCTCAGTCGATTTTGTGGAGAAGGGACCCAAACTCAGATCTAGATTACGTGACTGTTATACCACACAAACACATGAAAAGAAAAATTTGGAGAAGACCTCCAAGGACAGCAACTGCTCGAACAACACGAAGCTTTTAGTATTGCCGGACTAACGAAGTTGAAATCTCTTGGAACTGAAAAGTGGGATTTTGTAGAACTTCCAACAGGGTGTGGTCGAATCCTCCAGAGACAGCAGCAAAAAAGTCGGCGCTGGAAAAAGTCATGTCAATTTAAAGTTCTATGATAAAATCTATAAAAAGCTAAAGTTAAAACAATATCTAGCGTAGTTTATTTTTTATTTTTTACTATCTGAATCGTTGATTTTGAATTCCTGGATGGATAAAAATTTACGTGTAGTTATCTTTGAGGTATGCAAAATGAATATTGTGTTGACACAGAAATAGTGTAAATGAGAGTGGTAATAAATACAATTTATCCATTAAATAGTACAAATGCAACCGTGTGTATTTACAACATTTACATTTCACACCAACATTGACGTGGAAAACAAAGCGTCACTACACTTCAGAGACATGTTCTCTGCTATACGGTTACAGAAGTTAAATTTATTCATAGAGCCTTCATTACAACTTTGCCGGTTGTGTTAATGCCCATTGCAACAAGTTTCAATATGGTACGGCTCTTATATAACCTGTCCAAGTCATAGAATTAATGATATTGTTAAACTCAATTCATTAGATTAGAAATTACATATGAGCATAGACACAACCTAGCACATGTTTAAATTCTGGAGTATGTATCTGAGAGTACCTTTCAGTACCAATCTTCCTTAAATCTGAATACGTACAAGTTTGCAGTAAAAAAGACATAATTTTCACTCTATTGATGCTTTTGTACTGAAAGACTTGTTCCCAGTTCAATGCCATAATGTAATGGGTGATAAGTTTGTTCAAACAGTGCTTCGATTAATTGCTTGAATTTAGCTTACAAGATAACTATGCAAATGATTGTGCAGGACTTGAGGAGTTTACATCGTCTATATATGAAAGGCATACCTGTTTTAGTGAATAACAATCCCTATTAAGGTATGAAATACAAAATGATGCTGCGGAAGTGTGGGGTGCCGTTTATATAGTTTTTTTTATAGAAGTTGGAGGTCTCATTAAAATCTCCCTTCGTATTCGTCCACATACTAAGAAGTATGTTAACGAACATTGGAAGGAAGAAAATATTACCTCATAGTTTATTAATAATAATACCCAATACATATGAAAATACAGAA